TCAAATTGTCGAAAATGCCATTTCCTCAAGAACAAATTCTTTCTAAGCTTAATAATACAAAAGTAGCGGTAAAGGGCGATACACACATCTGCATAAAACAGAACACTCTGCAATAATATCCTGTAGTCAGGGCACCAAATTTTCTCCTTCCTATATACTCTGTGGAATTTTCAGGTAAAACTGAATTCCCTTAAAGTAACAAGATGGATCCATAGAAAAACAGGAGATTCGACAAGACATTTATTACAGAGTAATCCTGAATCCACAAGTCTAATCAAGTTCACGTGAAATATAGGTATGGAGAAATGCAATAAACAATCTTTATTTAAACATAAATACAGTGTGTGTGTGTGTGTGTGTGTGTGTGTGTGTGTGTGTGTGTGTGTGTGTACTTGCTTTAGCACAGAATACCCTCACTTTTACAGAAGAACTAGGTCTCAGCTGTTAAGTTTTTCTCCAAACTGCACTTAATAATGGTTTATACCAAACTGTCCGGTTTGAAATTTTATTCCAGATTGTTAAAAGATCATGTTACATTGTTAAAGCGATAATGTCATGCTTTCCAAGAGCAATTTGCAACTGTACATCTATTTCTCCACAAGCAGACCAAAGTTATCTTAGGGCAATGACACAGAACAACAGGTAGCTAGAATGAAAGTGACTCAATAGCTTTCTTGACCAGGTGTTATGTGAAACAAATTGAAAATTCTATATTAAAATAAGAAAGTAGAAAACACAACCATCTAGCAACTGGAATGTTGTGCCAGACCTGGTTAAAGCAATAAATGCCAGTTTGTTTGTTATGTTTTTATTGGAATTCCATGAAAATATCAATCAATACATACATGAAAAGTAGACTATAAATTGAAATAATTTCCCCGTTTACATACATACACATTAGTTAGTTAAGACAAACAATATTATAATGATAGCTGATGAGAGCTTTTCTTTTCTTGGTTGATCTTCAATAACTTGGCTTTAGGAAATCATTGTTAAAATACCTCTCACAATCTTAACGAATAGGCCCGTTAGAGTTCAAATAATTGAATTTCACTCTTCCGTAACTAGTTTAAAATATATCTATAATAACAACACCTTGCAACAACAACAAAAAGTCATGTGGTCTATAGTTTAATTATTCCACCTTATAGAATGTCAAGTTTCTTCTTAAGTGGATAAAAACTGTAAATACGTGATTTACCATAATGTTATTTGATGACGTAACTAATCGCAGCAATGCGCATAAAAAATTTATACATTGAGAAACTGAATAGAAGTTTATGTCATTGACAGCATGTAAAGCTTTATAGAATCTTTTAATGATATGAATTGCAAGAAGTAGAAGTGAATGTTTGACGTCCAATATGGTAGCTTTGAATGCAACAGTTTTGCAACATCATGTGTAAGACTTCTATATTCAGGTAATTTTTCAGTATTTCTACGTAATTATCACATCGTTGTAGAGTAGATGTATTAAGGTCGTAATCATGTGCTAATCATTTTTCTTAGGTAAAACTGTTTGTGTCTATTACATGAGGCAACTCAAACCAATCTCAAGAGATGGTACAGATACCTATACAAGTTGGGGTTCTCTCCCTTGTATTCTTTGTAATAAATGTTTACATATGTAACCTAATGATCATGGCAAACTGCACTAGTACCTTGATTCAACTATAAAACTGGAGTATTTGCAAAATTCTTTCTTTTGCTTCTCTTAAATTTTGAGATATCTTTTTCTATCCTTAACTCCAGCAGCCAGATTAGAAGCCAGCCAGTCTGAGAAAATAAGTATTTACACAATGCGTGTGTGTGAATAGTTTTATTATTCTTCGTTTTTCGTTGCTGTCCCTGTTTGAATTATTTTCTGCATAACATTTCCCGATCCAGTTATGTTGAGGATATTTTTTTTCTTTCTTGTTGGAATTACCACAGACCAAACATGGAAGACTATTTTTAATACAGTGAATTAGTTCTTGCACGAGATGAACTTAAGTGCTGTGGGGATAGAGAAGGATTTGTGCGATTATTGATTATGAAACTAAACTACTGAATATTTAATTGTATAAAAAAAAATAAAGAAAAAAGTTTCAGTTTACAATATTTTAGTCTACAACACTGTAAAGGTACCTCATTTGGAGTAGCAAGAAAATAATCAACTGGGAGCAAAGGAGGAGAAGAGATAACATGCTCCAAAGCTATTTAATTAAAGAGGGTGAGAGAAACAAGAAGTTCATGATGGTCCCCAATGCCCGGGATGCAGGTCCCATCAACAGACTAATGAGACACAACCACATAGGTGGTAATGAAGACAGAAATAAAAATAGGAGAGATGGTATAGGACAGAAGACAGAAACTCAACAGACAGCAGCATAGTATACTGCATTCCATGTGGAGGATGCAATAAAGTCCAGATAGCTGAAACTGGCAGGGGCCTGACAAGAAGACTAAATGAACACAAAGCAGATGTCAGAAGACACAACAAAACCAAAGCGATAGCAGCACATGCAGAGGAAGCAGAGCATCTGCGTAAATGGAAGAAAACTATATTAATCAGCAAAGAAATGGAAAAACAACAGAAAAAAGCAATGGAGGCTACTTATATACATTACTAGATTAGAACTTAAACACTAGTTACACCACAGCTGGAGTCTACAAGTAGGTGGAAGCGGCTGCAAGCCTGGTGAAAAGAAGGCAGTACGCCGATTGATTAGGTGGTGGTTGACATCATCATATCAAATTCGTGGCAGGAATTTAAGTGTATAAAAAAATATTTCAGGTGTCAGAACATGCTTAAATCTAAATTTAGCACAGTGGCTCCATACAAATTTGTTTGGCATCCAATCTCCCAACGTGCGGGGTGAAGAGAAACAAGTTTCTAACCACCCTGGGTTGTCTTTCAGGCACTAGAAATTAATACTGAGACCTGAAAGATTTTTAAGCCTGAATTCCTGCCACGAATTTGGTTTGATTTGGACGTTGTCATAACCTTCGGAAGAAAACTTGTAGTCGAAAATAAAAGAATAAAAGATCCTTACTATCCACTCGAGTTTTGTGGGGGACTTGATTCAAATATTAAAAAGCATTAGGGAGTTTGGAAAGTTTGTTCAGCTGACCAGTTTGAGTCGTGGAAGATGAAAATTAAAAATTATAAATTTAAAATTAGGAGTAATAAGTTTAAATGTTGGTACCATAAATACAGCCTTCATCTTCACAATAATTTTTTTTAGTTAGTTGGATTTGTAAAGGTGTGGAAATTTTTTGCCTGGTGTAGTTTAAACACTTTAAAATTTTATTAGACAGAACTAAAATCATGAATGTGGAAGGCTATATACGTGTTAAATTGAATAAAAAATTATTATAATTTGCTTTTTTGTTGATGAGGGATGACTTTGATGGGCCAAGTGGGCTTCTGTCACTGTCTTTTGTTATTTGCTTTAGAGATCACGAGCTCACTGGTTTGTCAACACTGCATTGATACCATTTAAGATTAAGATATACTAATGAGGTTGAAACAAAGGAGTAAGTAATATTATGTTAAAGGATGCGACAACTTACTATGAACATGGAATCCATCACACTTGCTGATAACAGTTCAGAACATCAACTTGAAATTCTGGAATCGTTATGGTAGATCATGTTGACTAACTTTTGAATTTCAAATTGTATTTAAACAAGCCAAAAGGATTAATCCAGCAAATTATTCAACAAGTCCCTCAAATGATAACATTTCCAAGTGTACAGACACTGGACACTATTTGAGGGATTGCATACAATAGCATTTAATAGACCAACCATACGAAGAAAGTTCAATAGAAACTTTCATTATAGCAATCGGCAAGAATGCTATATCCCTGAATGTAAACATGAAAGAGGTGACTGAAAGCTTCTAAAAGAGAAGTTCATAATGCACTAAACTGATGCATTAATGGAACGATAACTGAAAATGCTAAGAAATGCAGTACAGTCAGCCTATAGTCATACAATCTAAAATTCTAAGAGCATCTTTGCAGGATCCTGATGAAGAGAAAACAATCTCAATATAAAACACAGTACTTTGAAATTATGTAGTTTTTTCCAAGAGTAAAATCAGTATTTTCTGTAAGTTTATAAAAATTTAATCTATAGTCATAATGCTTTAAAAAATCATATTTTATTAGTACATTCCTAATTTTTGTATTCTGTCATACATTTTTTAACCTATTTATTTCAATAACATACTTTTTATGGCCACAATATTTATACCCTTAACATGCCACACATTAAAAATATTTTATTTACTGTACAAAATTTAACTTGAATGTATTAATACAAATATGTTATTAAAAAAAAAAGATCAAGGATGATGTTGACCAATAAGTAAATTAAGCTAAAGTTATTATAATGTTTCAAAGTTTTTTCAATTTTACAAATATCATTAAAATATTAAGGTCAGAATTCTGTGTAAGTGTAGTTTAGGTTCAAAGTATCTTGATAATCATCTCTGAACTGCAAGAACATGAAACAATAAAGGTGAATAAAATATAAAAATAAATCATTAAGTGTTGTTCCAATGCAAAATTGATAAAATCTGTATATTTTATAGCTTCATTGGCATACTTTTCTTACCACCTATAAAACAAAGACACTGTAAGAAGATATAAAACTAGGATATTTTGCATTATATTTACACTTTTGTTTCAGATTTTTTATAGTCCTACTACTACCTACATTCAACATTTTTAGATATACAATGCTACAAGTTAATGATAATCTAATAATATGGTGATTTTTCGATAATCATTTCCCATATTAACTTTAAGTATAGAAAATTTATTTTGTTTATTCTACATTTTAATTTAAGTATGGTAAAAAAATATCTAATATAATTTTTTTTATACCTCAGAAAAAGTACATTATAGGTAAAAGAGTATCACTATTCTTTGTTTCTTGTAATCAGTTATATTGTTTAACCACAAGAGGCATAAATAATATCACAATTCAAATAAATGTTTGATAAAAATTATGTATACTATGTAAAACTACTTAAAAAGCACAAATTAAAATATTCTCAATTTGATGATTTGGAAGCTATAAACAACTTTGTCAAGTAGCAAGATTAAAGTAGCAATCAATATTTTAAAATTAAATGGGATTTTAGAACTAAGTCTAACAAGATTATCATTATTATTGATGCATCCTAATTTACATTGAGGTATTTCTAAAACCTACATAATCTACAAGGATGTACACAAGTTTTTATAAATCCTACAATAAGGGTAGTCCACATGCATACATTTTGAACAGACCTCCAAATCTTCCACAATTGATGTTTGTTTTTAAATGCATTAATATCAGGAAGTTTAGGTCAATACAGAAAGAAAAGGACAGTGTACTAAAGAATGGTTAATAAGTACACATTCTGTAGTACACATAATTAAAAACCCCAAAATCAAAGCACATATGTAATATCTTATAAATAAACAAAGAACAGTGATGAAAATTATTAATATGCTCGTAAAAAAGGCCCATGTGTGCATTTTTGTAGGACATTAGCAGGTACAAAATGATGAATGACGTTTCTCTAGATCTTGACCTTACTGTAAACAAAAATTGAACCTTTGACAAAGAATAATTGACTACCCCTGCAACATAATGTAGCTGTTTGATCACTAAATGTTAAAACTGAAGTTTTTATAAATCGAGTACATAGAAAAACAACAAGAAAAATATTAACACTATGATTAAATAAATGCGTTAAAAATGATATGTTTTAGAGCTTTAGGCACCTTTGGATGTGGTTTATAAAGAATAATTTGATATTTATTTATTATGTATGAGGAACAAGTGTGAATCATTTGAAAATCTCTTACAGACAGAACTAATACATACTTTTGCAGAGTTGTAAGTCAGGTTCTATAGTTAAATTATAAGATATTAATAAAAATAAAAATATACACCTCACACACAGTTTACTTTGACACACTTTCTTTTCAATATTTTAACACATTTTATCTGGGCTAGATATCAAACCTGCAACTCCTTCACAAAAAAAGCAAGCATAAAAGTACTTTTACAATCTTTCACTCATAATTTCTTCATCACTCAAGTTAATTACAAACGCCTGTGATTCTTGCCAACTGTTTAGCATCTGTGGAACTTTTGCTAATTTGTCTTGCATTTCAATTGACACATCAACTTTGTTTTCTGCCTTTTGGTTCTTGGAGACAAACTCTTCAGACTCTTTGGGATGAACATGATAGAAAGAATATTCTCCACTTAATGCACTTTCAGCACCTGTATTATACAGTTGCCTATTAATAAATCTATTTGCAGTTTCTACATTTTCAATTTCCAGATTTGCTGAATCTTCTTCTTTTGGCAATACACTTTCAGCACCTATATTATCTGTTTGACTTACAATAAATTTATTAACAGTGTTTATGTTTTCATTTTTAGTGTCTTCTTGTATTGGCTTTTCTAACCCAAATACAGTGAAGACATCAGGTGTTTTTGTATCAGCATCAGAGCTTATTTTACCCATAAATGTGTTTGTCAGTGAAGTATAGACATGATATTCTTTGTTGTCAACCCATGGAGGAAACTCTTGTTGTTTCCAAACACAGCATCCATCAGTGCAATTTTCATCTCGTTTCCATGGTAATGTTGTTTCAGTTATTGTGCAAGATAGAGGCATTGTTGCTGTTGATTGAGAAATCTTATCTAAATTTAGAAGGAATAAAATTTGGAAATATGGCCAACTTATACTAACATGAATGACAAAATTATTAAGATATTATTTGGATATATAAAAATAAAAATATATATAACAAACCTTTTTCTAGAGCATGCTTATTAGGCTAACAAGTTTATCAACTATTCTCACTGAAATATGGACACATTTTATTTGTCTAAGAACTGTTGTGGTATTTTAAATTGTATGCCATTACTGTAGTTTTAAATCGATAAGGTAAGTTTAAATACTATAATGACACAGCACCCTAAACATGTGATCACAAATGTCACCTTATAGGCAGAGAGTTATCAATAAATCAGAGTACAAAAGTTATTTTAACATAATTACTCATTGTTGTTAGTATGAATGCTTATCATAATGTTTTAATATATCATTTTAAACTTTGAATTTTTTCTGTATGAAAAAAAAACTTTATAATCTTTAAGTTGCAACATTATACTAAATTCAAAATATAAAATAGCTTTCATGCTTGCATACCAGTATCTCTTTTATGTGTATCATTTTCAGGAGGTGTCATTCGTGCAGTAAAGGTTATTCCATTGTCATCTGGAGAAAACACAGTACCAAAAAGTGGGTTATCATCATCATCAAGTACCATTTCTTGGTTTTGATGAGAATAGTTTTCAACCTCTGAGATTTCAGATATACTGGCTGGAAGGGTGAATCTCAGTGATGTAGTTTTACGGGAATTTGAATCTAGGGGAAAAAAATATTTGTTTAAAGAAAACATATCAAATTAACAATGGTTAAACATTGGGAAAGAAATCTTAGAATATGACAGATTACCTGATACTTTTATAGGTATCAAAATATTTCAAGTGTTAAATTTCACTCTTTATTAAAGCAATTATATATTTAAACAGATGTTAGTTCAAGGTGTGTTAATAAGTCTACTACAATGAGGTTTTAAAAACTCCAGTGAAACAGAATTCAAATGCACTTTTAAGTTGAGAAAAGTAGTTCTTAGTGCTCCTTTGTAAGGTAGTTCTTTCCCTGAACATCTTTTTCCAACAACTGTATTTCTTATAATAAAGTGCATATTTTAAAAGGTTAGTTAAATTTTTGAAACAATTTTATCACTGTAGGGATGTGATTGGCTGTTGGTGGACACTGAATGTAATTATATGTTGGCCAAGACAAAATGATAAACTTTCTGATAACTAAGATAACTATTTCATATAGCATATTTCATGGAACCACACACAATTCATTCTAAAGAGTTTTGCATAAACAAAACTAATATTTATGATATATACACTATATTTGATAGTTTAGTTATTAACATTCACAAATTTGTTGTTATAAACAACTTTGAAAACCATGATATGCTGTTATATTGCAATATAACAATTATGCTATTACATTGCATAAAACCACATTAGTTATATGTATGTGTATAACTAACATATGCTGTCACATCAGGTGAATGTGATTACAAAAATCATGATGTCATGTCAGGAAAAATACATGAAAAAAAGAAGAACTTTGGACTGTACAGTACCATGCAAAAGTGTACGGACAAGAGAATATTTTGTCATTCTTTCCATTTTATGGGGCTAATTCTTCCATGACATTACAGAATGTACATTTTAACACTTTGGTAAAGCTTCACTGATCCCTGTTGACAATTGAATGAGCCAGGGTGAGAATACTTATCATTCTTTAG